TGGCCGAAAATCCCCCTGGACTATTTCAACTGTCGAAATGTCCACTCTGGAAATTTTTTTCAGCCAATTTAGCCTTCGTATTAAATTTATTCGCCAATTTCACCCTTGCCGTTAGCCTTTTGACAATTCCATCCAGATGCCTGTCAAATATAAGGGTAAATTTGACATTTTACAAGGTAATGCATTAAGAAAAGTAAGGAAAATGTAATATAATATATTTAAAAGGTATAGCCGCCCGGCTATACTGGCAATTTCATTGTACAAAGGAAACCTTCACATAGTCCAGATGTACCTCGATGGCTTATGCCAACCCCTAAAATTTCTCTCAAGGACTTCAAATCCCTTTTACCCCGTCGCTCTATAGCTCTCTCTCGCGTCTGCTCCACCTTCCCTGCCACCTCCTCTAACCCTAACCATAACCCTTCTTTTGTTCCAGAATAGCTCAATGAAGCACCAAAGGTGAACACTTTGACACACCCCAAGATTAAATTCGAAGCACCAGAGAATGTTGTTGCTGATTGCGAAGCTGGGCCTTTTGGGGTCGACAAGGATGAGAAACAATCGGACGGTACTGATTTTACGGTGAAACCCGTTGATGGGTCTGATGCATTTCCTGCTTTTAAACTCGATTTGCCTGAGAAAGGTTCGAATGTTATGGATGTTGGTGCAAATTCATTAGCCTGTGAAGGTTGAGAAAGTGGATGAAGTGGAAAACAACAATTTGAGGTATGCAAGAATATGCAACCAGCAGATTGAAGTATCTGCCTGAAGCTTGATTGGCTTGTACCAAAACGTTTGCGGTCTGACCAGGTGCAATTGAGAGAGAGAGAGAGAGAGAGAGTGAGAGAGAAAGAAAGAGGTGGTGGTCTGGTGGGCTTTTATGTGCGGCTGTCCTTGGGTGTGTAGGGGCTGGGGGAGGGATGTGGAAGAAGAGAAGAGAGACAAAGAAGAAGAGAGAAGAAGGATCAAGAGAATTGGTTTGCAGGGTTGGCATGTGCAATTCCCCGTGGTGTTTTTAACAGAGATTTGGATGGAAATTGCCAAAAACTAACGGTGAGGACTAAATTGGCGATAAAATTTAGTAGGAGTGCTAAATTGGCTGAAAAATTATTTCAAGGTGTAGATTTCAACTAGCGTGATAGTTCAAGGGGGTATTCGCCCATTTACCCTTTCTTTTATGAATACTTTTTTTTTATTTATATACAAGCGATATTGAGATACATGGTAAATACTCTTAACCAATTGAGTTATAAACCCCTTGCTCTATGAAAACAGTTGTTAGTAAATCTATGAAAGCAATTTTCAAATAAACAATAAAACAAGGTGGAAATTAAATAAATCATAATTAGATTTAGGAAATGTACTATATTTCTTTTTTGGGGGTTCTAGTTAGCTTTAGCTAGTTTTATTCCTATACTTCCCTTTTTTTTTTGTCAATTCTTCCTATACTTCCTTGAAATTGCTTTGAACTTTAAAGCAAATTATAACCATGTGCAACAAATAACAATATATAATATATACATAATATTGCTAATTTATATTTCGTAAAAATTGCTTCGAAGTTGGATGGAAAGTACATTCCTTGACATTATTCCTGTACTTTCAGGAAGTTGTGATGATTTGTTGAGGTTTGAATCCTTGATTGATAATAGAACAAGGCCATCATTATTTATTTTTATGAAATTTTTTTATTGAAACGGGTGATATCATACTAAATTCACACATTATACGGATGTTATGACTTAAATCCAGGACCCTTCTTGAGGAAACAATTGCTACATGCAAACCGCTACATTAGTTGGTCATTTGCTTTATTGTTCTTTTTAGAGATATTAAGTTGGAAGAAAAACATTATTAATAATTTATTGTTTTTATTTAGCAACCCTGTACAATATGTAGGGCCTAACATGAAACACGCTTTCCTCATTTTGGTAAAAAGCAAGGAAAGATGGGAGAGCTGAAAAAAAAAAAAAAATTAAAAAGATGAGAGAGAGACATAATGCTTAGGTTGGCTAACAATTTAAGGGCCGCACATTTTTGGGCATAACCTTTTAATGATGCTTTCTGATCAAAATAACCTTTTAATTGTGCTTATGAAACCTACTTTTCAATTTGTAGAGTAGATGATTGGTTGGGAACTAATTATGTGTAGACAAAACTACAACTAGTTAATTACGAGTCGATTAGTTTATGAACCAACATCCCAAAGTTATGCTTAATTATAATTTCGTCAAATATCAATGGATTGATTGCCTATCTCTTTCGGTATTCTAAATTGTACGATTATAGTACAATTGCCAGCTAAATCACATTAGTTACTGTGAGAGATTATAGCTCTAATGGTAGAGTACTTTACCACTTTACCATAATCAAGATGGAACTATTGTCTTACCCAATCAAAACTGTTAAAAGAACGGGAGAGTATTGGTTACAAATGGGCATAACTTCTAATTACACTATTAGAAAATCTTGGCAATTACTTTTTTTTTTTTGGTCAAGTCTTGGCAATTACATTGTTAATGAGTGTACGACAACTTTTTGGGAGTGTAAATAGTTACTCTTATTTTCGTTTTCATTAATTCAAATGAATGCAATATCATGTCCTAAGCTCTAATCATATTAGATTGGATTGGAAAATTTAAACAAACTAAATGTTATTGGTTTTGAACGGTAGCGGGCATGACTGGAGTGGTCGTGCCCCAACCTACATGGAAACTTAAGAACAATTTGAAGCTATCATGGAAATTTTCAAACCCAAAAAAAAGTTATGTAATGCCCCCAACTAAGCTTTTCATACCATTGACCCTCCATAAATTGTTTTTCTATACTTCAAACCCATGAACACCCTTAATATGTTCATACAATATAAAAGTTATTCTAGTGTGATGTTTAGGAAGTAACCTTAGTTTAGGACAAGCATAATAAGCACATATATGACTTTTGGGAATTTCATTAAAGTGAGAGCCAATAGACTTGTGTGAGTTTGGTGTGAATTCCAAACTCAATTCTACATAGTAACATTAATTCCAAAATTTATTTCCATTCTCCAAAGAGAAAATTATGCTAGTGCTTGTCTTACTTTCATATTCAACAATTGCTAGTGCTCGTGCTCGTCTTACTTTTCATATTTAACAATTGCTTAAACTTTGAAACAACAACAATTCTTTTCTTGTAGCATATGCGGGACTAGGATTCTTCCTTGTCATGTGTCCCTTGTCTTTTCAGCTAACAATTTACCCAAGAAAGGACATTCCATCTCCCACAAGGAAAAAAATTAACATACCACAAGAAAAAATGGGACATCGACCCCATTAGTCAAATATGAGTATATCGTCTTTGAACTTTTGTCATTTTTTAAGCTTTCATCCGAAGCGTTAGGTTCAATTTTCCTTTCCCAACGTCGCTCGTATTAAAAAATATATATAATCCAAATTTGGGTTGGAAAATCTTATTTGTGAAGCCCATTTTGACATTTACCGGAAAAATTACCATATGGAATTTTTTTTAAAAAGGGACATGGTACCTATTAGTCAAAAATATGAGTTTATAATCTTTGTATTTTTGCCATTTGTTGAAGCTTCAAGCTTTGAATATAATTGCAGTCCAAATAGTCAAGTAGAGACATTAATACTAAAGAAAAAAGGAATTTTGTGCTTTATCGACCTAAGCGCACGCCCATTTATTATTCTATGCGTTTCACGGGCCATGCTTAGTCCAATCCTACTCAGCTTTGAATTACAAAACATTTGGTTACACCATATTTATATTGGCCGACCAAGAAATCTAAAATAGAAAAATTCATAGCTTATATACTTAATATTTTTATTATTATGTTGCATTCTGACACAATTTGTGAAAAACTGAAAATGGAAATATGGCTTCTCAATGCTATCAAAGGCTATAATTTATGCCTAGTTGTCTCATCTGTTTTACACCATGAATAGCCACTTACCTAGTTGTCTCATTTTTATTTTGATCAGTAGGTGAGGATTCAAATTTGGAATATCTTCCAAAATCGAGAATAGAAGTACCTAGTGACATGTACGCTTACTTGGTACATGTATTGAAATTATTTTGAACATTGACTTCACTTATGTTTATATGAGAAATTTGAGTTTTTTTAAATCCTAATTTTCACATGAGGAATAAAAAATTATGTTTGTTCCATATTAAAATACCCAGTTCAACTTCCCGAATTCATGAATTCCCCTATTCCAAGTAAGTAAATATGCGATAAATGCACTCTTATTTAACATATATTATGTTTCTACCTTCAAGTATGTACTCGTGATAAATGTGATAATATTTCATGTTATGCTTGAATACAAGAGGAAAATCTCAACTTACATTTCCCTTTTGAGGATTAAAGTGATTAAAAATAAAATTCTGATTACAATTTGCAACTCACACGAATCACGTAACGTTTGATTTGAGTTCACAACTTATAAATTCATCTTTTATTATTAGGTTTGGGTCATTTGAAGATTGTCTATTTCAACCAACTCATACCTATAGGAAAGGCAAATTACTTGTTAAATGCCTAATTCCCACAACCACAAAATTGGAATCCCACTATATGTATGGCAAATATCCAAATTGGTGAGTGAACCATCGCCCTCAGATATAAACCAGCCACCACCAACCAATCTCCACCGTTGGATCTCCTCCTCAGCCCTCTTTCCCCACGCTCACTCTACCCTTTACTCTCCGCATGCGACACCATGCAACCGTCCAATTCCGTATCTTTTACAACAAACCAAACCGGACCTAGAAAATTCTCTGAAAAAACCTCACAAGCTCCGGCCCGACCGGCCGGTTCGAACCGAATATTTGAGAGCGAAGAATTCACGCTTCTCGATGCCTGGTACAAAATTCCTTACCCCCGACCATCAATTTTGTACAATAAATATTTTCTCAACGCACAAAAGAAAAATTAAATTAACAATAAAATATTTATTCTGTTGAATTTGATTTAATATTTTACTTTTTGGGGAATATTTCTCTCCCTTCTATTTCTGGCTCTCTTTCAAGCCCTAAAATCTGAAACGATTTTTCCCCATTATTGTCCGAATCAAAAAAACCGTCACAAAAAGCTCACAATCCACACACACACACACACACACTCTTTCTCTCTCTCCCTCTCTCTTTCCAAGCAAACCAAACACATTCTTCATTTCCCTCGCCTAAATTCTCTGTTTTTTTTACACCATCATCAGCACCGTCCATTTCGCAATGGCGCAATTTGGACGGCTGTGATCGTCCGATCGCTCTGCGAGCTCAATCGCCACCACCACCACCACCACCGCCATAGGCGTCATCTGTTGTAACCTCTGATTCTATGTTAGCGGCTCCGTTTGGATGCGTGTATTGTTGGGTGGAGGATAAATGCATGTGGTTGGGGATCTAGGGTTTCGGAGCCTCGTGCTGGTGGCTTGTTTTTTGGTGCCGGTGATCGGCTTCTTCGTGGTCCGAAGGAAATGGCGCCTCGCGAAGGCCAGAACGGAGGAGATCAAGAGGCTTTTGATCTTGGCCAAGGAGGAAGCTGCTAGAGCTGAGTTTGAGGTCGCGGCTGGGTATGCCTCCGTTTCGGTAGCTGAGAATAAAGGTTCATATTGCGCCGTTTGTTACTGCCCCACCACCACGCGCTGCGCCCGCTGCAAGGCGGTTCGGTACTGGTACGTTTTCTAAAAAAATGAATAATATATTCTTTTTCTTCTAATTTCTATAATTTTAGGCTTGACCAATTTGTGCATTTCGGGTTTATAATTATGTGATTTGCGTGGTAATTTTTTTCATTTATTTACATTACATGTTTGGTAATTCTGAATTTTTGTGTGAAACCCACTTGTTAATGTATTTGTTTTTCTGGGATGTATGGATTTTTCTTTTCGTGAATATGATTCAGTGGATGGTTTTTTGTCATTAATCTGATTCTGTACTTTTAATATGTGAAAAAGCTAAAACTTGAGGAAATCTGTATAGAGTTAACCCCTGATAGGGAGAAGGAATTTGATGAATTTATTTTGTATTGAATATTACCGAGCCTCCCATGAGTACCTACTATGTAGGTGTTATGGCAAGTGGCTGTTATCAGAAAAAGAAAAAAAGTTGAAGTGATAGGGCTTTTAGTTACTAAGTTGTTACTACAACTGAGAAGGCAACGATTTGCTCATGATTAAGAACCATTAGAAGATCTGTATTTTTTTTTGGTTTAACAGGCATACACAACTGATCTTCTGTTTCTTGTCAAAAATAAAAAAATAAAAAAGGCGAACAGTCAAATAATGAAGAGAATGCCTTCAAACTTACTGACATCTTATGATCACTTAAACTGTAGAGAGGAGTCGAGGCTTGAAAAAAAAAATCGACCTTAGATAATGCTGATTGATGAAAAAGAATCCTTGTAGCCAACCCCAATTAGATTTGAAGAAAAGTCTTGTGGAATTGTTCAGTTCAATACTTGATGTCAACTTTATTTCCTGGTTAAGCTATGGATCCCAAGGTTGAAAATGCCAAAGATACATGTACTTGCTTGTTCTTTGTAATGACAGCGGTCAGGTCTTCATAGAGATTATCACATGATAGACTTAATAAGATTGTATTTCTGGTATCATGCAGTGTTCATCTCATTTGTTCTGGTGGCGATCATTAATCTCTTATTGCTTGATATTACTTTTTTCTGCACTCGTACCAGTTAAAAATAAGGTTAATTTACATTTTTGTTCCTTGTAATTTAGGCTCAATTCCATTTTAGGCATTGTAGTTCTAATTTCAAAAACTTGACATTTATAGTTTGTCAACATTTTCAATGCAATCCAAATTTACATTTCTGTCGTGTGGGTGACGACAAGGATAAAAAGGTGAACGTAATTTGCCTTCATGATGGCCTGGTTCCATGCTACTGTCACACTTTTTTTTTTCTCCTTGGTGACATCAGGGAAAAAAATTAGCATTTCCCGCCAACCAACATCACAGAACTTACAAATTCGACCACATTTAAAGCCTTAACAATCTATAAGGGTAAATTTATTGATACTAGAAGTCCAGGAACTACAGTCCTTAACCTAATAGTAACATTAACAGGTGACCTATTTAGTAAGCTGTAGTTTATTCATGTCACACACACGCCTCTTCATGTGTTCTCTCTCTCTCTCTCTTGAGGGTTTCTATAATTGGTATAGTATTATATTTACAATATTGACATGACATCCAAATTCAATGTTTCAGTTCTGGGAAGTGTCAAATTATTCACTGGCGACAAGGTCACAAGGAAGAATGCCATCCTCCTAGTCATCGAAGCATTGACGGGGAAGGTGATGCTGGTCTGAACGTGGCCAAGAAAGACCTTGAAATTAATACTGACAAGATTGAAAACAGGCAGTCAGTTGAAAGATTCTCTGAGGAACCTGCATTGCCTAATCCCGGTTGCCCTCCCGAAGTTCAATGTATAACTGATGATGATAGTGAAGATGAATATCTTTCCGAGAGGAAAGGAACAAATTCTACTTCAGAATCATCAGCTACCTCTTTTTCTGGATTTTCTACTTCTGCCAGCTGTACTGGATCTTCGGATGATGCTTCTGTCAGTGAGAGTGTTAGTTCATGTGAATCTGACAGACCAGATGAGCATCCATCTGCTAATGATGCCCTTGACATGCTACACACTTCCTTTAAAGTTGATAACATTGATCAATCTAAGCCATTATCTCCAAAATTTGCTAGCTTGGTTGATTCTGTTAATGGTTTTGCTAAATTAGGTAAGTTAAGTCAGGCTAAACCTAGTTGCAATGATGGAGAGAACGAGCGGAGATCAAATTGTTCTTCAGATTTGAACAATATTTGTCCAGTTACCGAGTCTTGTACACCATCTTCTGGTTTCTGGGGGAGAACTCTCGATTCTGTAGGGTCCAGTAGTGATGTCCAGGTGTCCAATTCCAGTGTAGCCAGTAATAGCAAGGTACCTGGTTTTGGGTCTTCCTTACAGTTTTCTTTCAACTTGTCTGGAAATACTGCTCCTGCCCTGCATACGCTAGGCTCTGGGTCAAGTGGCACTATACTAGGCGATGCTCGTACAGATTGTTCAGAGCTCAACAAGTCAATTTATGGAGCTGATTTATCAGAGAAGATCAGTGGAGATGCTCCTAAGGTCCGGAACTCCCCATCCTGGAACTGTAAAGGGTCAAATAACGAGGTTAATGGATCTAGCAGTGATTTACATGCCTTAAAGTCCAGAGCAGTTAATTCTATGCCATCCTCCTCGCCTTCTGTTCATAAATCTATTCGCACTGAAAGAGTTTCAAAAGGTACAGATGCTTTGAATTCTAGTAGAGTGCTACCCACAAGCTTGGAACGGTCGAACCATGCTGTTAATAACTGTGGCAGAACTTCAAATCTTTCAAAGTCTAGGGAAGTTGGATGTCCACCCAGTGTTTCTGATGCTCGTCTTGCATCTGCTGTTGAAAGTTCTTCACTTCCATGTGTAAAAGCTGGAAAAGTTGATTTTGTTGAGGCTAGGGATGCTGTTTCATCTCAAGTTACAAATTCTTCAAATGATAGGAATGGCTTGAAAACGTCTGTTTTTAAAGTTTTTGATCAGTTTAGAGGATCTAAAATATCAAAGCACTATCCTTTGGGAGTTGGGACTGAGATTGCAGGAAAACATATTGAGAAGGTTTGAGCTTTTATCCTTTCATAACGTACATGCCTTAACATTTTGCTGATTTGCAGTAAAATTTAGTTGATTATACTTTTTGTTTCTGCAGGAACTCTTTTCATATGAATTATTTGTCAAGATTTACAATTGGAACAAGGTGGAACTGCGCCCTTCTGGCCTTATAAATTGTGGTAACAGGTAATGTCAAATGATACCTGTTTATGCGGACATATTTGAAAATTAACAAGTGCATAGAACTGAGTCGTTAAATGATTCTGATTAGTTCTTCATGAAGTCTTGTAGCTGTAACCTTGACTTTTGAATGCAATGTTTTGTTATTAAGGTGAATTTCTGTGCTGCTACTTGTCTTTTTATATAGTTAGCATTATCAAGTTCCACATGTATGGTCTAATGCCTTCTGTCAGTCCTCTACACCAGCAATGGGAAATGACCCTGTGTTTTGACACAATCATTCATTATTTAACTGAATTTTCTACAATTAGTCTGTGCATACAACTTTACATATGTCTTGGTTGGTTTTCTTTTCAAACAGCTTATATAGATCAAAAGTTGGTTTTTCTATTGTTGTGGATTCGCCTTTTGTGTGAGAAGTGTTGTCATTCCCTTTTTAACGTACACTTTATTCCTATTTTGCAGCTGTTATGCCAATGCGGTGCTCCAGTGCTTGGCATTCACTCCACCTCTGACTGCTTATTTGCTTCAAGGACTCCATTCTAAAGTTTGTAAGTTTTTGAGCATGTTCTCCATTATGGATTCATATTGAATGCTTGTTTAGTAAGGTCGGTAGCTCTTATATTGTGTAAAGTTTATTGATGAGTCTTAATATGTTTCAGGTGTAAAGAAGGAATGGTGTTTCCTGTGTGAGTTTGAAAGTCTAGTTTCAAAGGCAAAGGAAGGAAAATCCCCTCTGTCTCCTATGGCAATACTTTCCCAGTTAAGAAATATTGGAAGTCAACTTGGTAATGGGAGAGAAGAAGATGCCCATGAATTTCTAAGGTGTCTCATACTATTCTATGCATGAACCACACTATCACTCTTCCATCTTCTGGAAAATCCTTATATTAATTTAATAAGTTAAATTGACAGGTATGCTATTGATATGATGCAATCTGTTTGCCTTATGGAAGCCGGGGTTAATGCATCGCGCTCTTTGAAAGAAGAAACAACTTTAATAGGCCTTACATTTGGAGGCTACCTTCGATCAAAGGTATGCATAGTAATGGGCCTGCTAGAGATTTAATGGTATTATAAATTATATACAACCAAGGGTAGCTCTGTTTTCTTACCTGAATTCCAATGCTGTTTGATTGTTGACATCTCACTATTAATAATTGCCTCAATGGAACATATGAATTTGATTTTATGGCCTGCAGATAGAATGCTCAAAGTGCCAAGGAAAGTCTGAGCGGCAGGAAAGAATGATGGATCTTACTGTTGAGATTGAGGGTGATATAGGAACCTTGGAAGAGGCTCTTCGACGGTTCACCAGTACTGAGACCTTGGATGGGGAGAACAAATACCAATGTAGCAGGTTAGTTGTGTTTTGTTCCATAAGTCAATTACGAGCATCTATTGGTTCTTGTTACATAGTTAGTGTAGAATCACTGTTCTTTCAACTGAAAATTCTTTTTGCTATCATATTTCTGTTAGCTATATATTAAGTTTGCTTACATTTTCTACATTTGATAGGTTATAACTGGTAAATCATTTTGGCAAAGCGTTCAATACTACAGCAAATTTACATTTTGATGAGATACTATGGGCAATAATGCTCTTTTATGCCCTAAGTTCAAACTGTGTGTGCTATAATGAAATTTGAAAACTGCTACTCTTTTTTTCTGATGATAATTGTCTGACATTTTGTTTTTAGAGCGAAAAGTGTAGAAAAAAGATGTCCTTGTTACATTTTTAGGATTGTGGCATAATGTATCTTGTGAAAACATTGATTATATGTAAGCATAAAATAATATCCATTAAATGTTCACCCTCTTTTCCCCTTTTGCAATCTGCCATGGTTGCTCGTTGATCTGCCCTCAAAGTTTGAATAACTTTGATTGAAGTTTCTATTTTATAGCATTACTGGCTTTAAAATGCACTAACTTTGTTGGTGCTTTCAATATCCGATCAATCAGATGCAAATCGTATGAGAAGGCCAAAAAGAAGTTGACAATACTGGAAGCTCCCAATATCCTTACCATTGCACTGAAGCGTTTTCAGGTAATTGAGTTATTCAAGCATGAATTTTTAGTCTGGGCTGTCTGTATCTTATTTCTTTTATCTAATGAGCGTTTCCTGTAAAACAGTCTGGAAAATTTGGGAAGATCAATAAGCCTATTCGGTTTCCTGAGATCCTGGACTTGGCACCTTATATGAGTGGTACAAGTGATAAATCTCCAATATATAGACTTTATGGGGTGGTTGTTCACTTGGATATCATGAATGCCGCATTTTCTGGTCACTATGTGTGCTACGTTAAGAACTCCCACAACAAGTGGTTTAAGATCGATGACAGCATGGTATGTTATTTACAAAGTTGGTATTTTAATGTGGGTTGCAACTTTACTCATTCATTTTTGTTATTTAGCTTTGGGTTTTAGCTGTATCTACGTTAAGTCATGGGTTTATCTGAGTTATTTTACAGGGCTCTCTTACCTAGATTTACTGAAGGCCATACAACACAGGATAAGGTGTTCCCTGTAAACGTCAGTTAGTCTACATCTGAAAAAAGAAGGAAAAACACTGAGAGTAAACAACAAAACAGAATTACAAGACAACAGCATTCCAATCTGAATAAATAGCATGAAAAGACCAATCTCGAAATTCAGAGGAAACCGAGACCAAAAACAAACTCTGTCCCACAAATGACCCACATCCTCCCCTCTTACACCTTCAAAGATTTTTCTCCTCTCCTTCTGCTCGACCCAAAGATTGGTCCTGTATGATTATAGGGATTTGTGTAACTGTGTTACAGTGATGAATTTTTATTTTACCTCTAATTCGGATGATAGGAGCTTTAGAAAAGTTCTCTAGAAAAATGGATTTGAGGTGAACAAGCATGAAGACTTTAGTGGTGCTTTAAATTTCGTAGTGATTGATGGATAATTAGCTAGCATCCAACCCTTAAAGCTCTACAAATTATATACTGAACTAGTTAGCCCTGTCTCGTGTTTCCATTTCCTATGATTTTCTTATTTATTTGTTTCATGCATAACCAGAATATTGTAGTAATTTCGTATTCCAGTGCTTTCAATCAATAATGTGTTTAATGTGGTTGGGCAGGTAACAGCTATTGAACTTGAAAACGTCTTGACGAAAGGGGCATACATGCTTCTTTATTCGAGGTGATGATCTCTTGACCTTTTCTGTTTTGTTCACATTGCCGCCTCTTTTTTAGTTTCTCTAATTGTTTTATTGTTTGTGCTTCCGACACCTATCTTGTAGGTGCTTGCCGAGGGCCCCGAGATTGATAAGAAACAGAATAATATCTCCTGATCCCAAACATAGAGCCATTCCTTCCTGGATTAGTGGAAAGACTACCAATTTGAAACCGAAATCTGTCTCGCCACATTCTAGCGTTGACCCATTCTTACCCAGTTCAAATCCTCCAGAGGATACAACGAGTTCTCAGCTGAAAAGGATTTTAGAAGAGGATTCATCAAGTGACAATTCTTCCCTTATCAGCAACAACTCTGACGAAGGTTCTTGTAGTACTGATAGCACTCGTGATTCTTCGAGCGCCGATGACTTGTCCGATTATATATTTGGTGATTCAGGACGTGGTTGGAATAGCCCTTGGAGGAATTTTTCGGATTCTGACACTTCTTCCTCATCCTCTTCCTCACCCTCAAGTATGAAGCATTCACCACTCTCTGATTTAAACCGGTACGCTTCAGATGGTGCAATGACTGTTCCTTTTTTGCATTCTGACACCAGTAAACAGTGTAGAAAGTTAGCAAGTAGTAGTAGTAGAAATAGGGAAACTGACTCGGAGAGATTAGGACCCGACTCTTTAAGGGATGTAAAATTTAAAAAACCAAGTAGGGAAAGGACGGTAAACATTTGATTATTATATGATATAAATTATGTTCAAAATCGAAAGATCGAAAGCTGCAAATAAAGAGATTGAGAGGAGCTGTATGTAATGTAACCCATTAGCAGGTTTTATTAAAAGAAATCGGCCATGGCCTTTTTGCCAGTTACCCTTTTCAAGTCGCATTGAAGGACAGTTGCCCATCTGTGAGTTGGCACTTGATGCAAGTGGAAGTCGTCTGCTCTTGCATGGGCCATTGCCCACATTTCTCTTTATTTCTTTCTGCACTCCCAAATTCTGTTTGCCTCGCGAGAGTTCAAAGTCATTGCTTCATTCATCTGGTAATGTTTGACAGGTTAGATTTTGGGTAGAAGATTCATATCTTGATATTGCTGAACTTTCAATACCATCAGTGCATTACAAATCTGAGGGTTTATTAGGGTTTTTATTTTATTTTGTCCTTAAAGTTTAGGGTTTAATTATAAATCCCAAACACAGAAGATAAGTATTGCATACTTTTTATAGGCGCCAGACGTCAACTCCCTGCTTCTTTATCACTAATGGCCTCAACTACTTGAGACTGAATTGGTCTTCCCACACAATTTAATCATTGCTGGACTTAGTCTATAGGTGCAACACCCAAGTCTTTGATTTGCAGTAAATGTTGCTTCTTCTTCTTTCGCTATGCGGGGGTATCCACATTTATATTCCAAGATGTGGGAATTTCGCACTTACATGGCTATCTAAGATATAGATATTGTCCAATTAAAGTATATATATACACCATTTGTTACCTAGTCTGAATTATAATAAAAACTTTGATAATACCGCTATATTATAAGTTATAACCGGACAGTGTCGATCACTCAGCCATATAAAAGTCCCCATAATACATGTAGAGAAATATAAACCCGAAATTTGCACAAGGGATTTATAACTCAAAGGGGTTAATAGTATTAATCTTCCTTGCGCTTTAAGTAGTTAATAGCATTAATCCCTGTATTTGAGATTGTAAGTTTAATTCCCCCTTCCTTAAGAGCAATTCTAGCAAGCAGCCTTGGCCCGAGCAAGAGGGGGCCCAAGCCCCAGGTCGATGTTCTAGTGGGCTTCAGCAGCCCGGGCAGTTGGTGGCCTCCACAAGCCTGGGCAGGTCCGAAGGCAAGAACAGCCTGGGTTTGCTGACGTCAGCAATGAAAAAAAATTATAAAAAATCTAAAAAGTTGCTAAAAATTTCAGAATTTAAAAAAAAATAAATACTTGGTCATATTCTTCACTTCCCACACCAAAATTCTATATAAATTCCTTTCTTCATATCTCATGTGAATAGTAGTTGACATTGGATTGCTATGGCAATGGGTGAAAACACTACAAGCCTTTTGCAAGGACTGCCACTATTTACGTGAATAATAACAACCATTGCCTTACCCTTGTCCTTTGCCATGACAAATGGGTGGAAGTGCTCTAATAAGTAAATGCGTACCCAAACTTGGACCAAAGAAAAAACACGCTACCCAAAGAATTCATAACTGAAACTGAGTCAAGCCTGGCTGAAGGCCAACCAAAAATAGAAAGTGGAGGTTGTCGGGTTTTAGTAAAAGCGAGAGAGGTGCAATTCAAAATAGATACATATTTGGAATGTTGACCAAATGGCACGAGAGAAAGTCAAACTACTCAGGGCACGAGGGAACAGTGTCACACAAGACAAGACTAGAACCAACGGCCCACACCACGACAAAAATAGCCCATACATGATAAACCCATCCCCACTCCCCTAGGTTTCAACTTGAACGATCAAACCGAAAGGGCAACCAGCACCGTACACGTGTACTTTGTTCAATGATGCCTGCCTTGACCCTCTTGCAAGTTGCTTGCACCCCCTACCCCACCCATGCCCAACCCATGCCGTCATGTGGGCAGTGGACCCGCAGGGATGAGAATGGAGAACGGATCACTGATTTCATTAACATTAGTTAACCACCGGATTAGAATCAAATATAAAGTTCTTTTTAAAAAAAAAAAAAAAACTAAGTTCAAGTATTAGATTAGAGTTTGAATTTGGCCATTTGATTAGGTGCATTATTATGATTATATACACAGGTATATTAAGTATACGTATAAATGTACGTAGAATAATGTATATAGGGTGTAGATTCATAAATTTATACATAATTAAGCACAAAAATCAAAATATAATCTAATTCAATAAATAAATAAAAAGGATATTGACAAAAATGCTTCAACTTAGGTATTCACACATTTGGCACCCCATAAAAAAAATTATAGCTCTGGCTGTTAGGGCTATGTTGTTGTTGAGTCCATTATTGATACGAGCCAGCTGAAGAGGAATTCAGTTTCAGATGAATCATCATGCATGCATGCATGCGTCCAAATTTGATGGCAAAGAAAGCATCAAGCATGCCTGAATATATATTTCTTTTTAAGCTTTTCTTTTCCCAGAAACTCAAAGTCATGAAAAAAGTCACACCGACCGCCGTACAATACACACAGCCAAATCCCATGTGTTTCGGGGATGTCGAACAAAGCAGCAACAGTAGCATATCCTATCCTCTTCACGAATCATATCATATCATCCCTCCCAACTCTTCTTTTCGGCTGAAAGAGATTGCTCTCTCTCTCTCTCTCTCTCTTTGTGTTCATGCTTTTCCTCAACCTCACCAGCTTAGTAATCGGCAAAATTTAGAAAGGCTGTATTTTGCCTTTCGTTTTTGCTTTGTGTCAAAAAAGAAGAAGAAGAAATTGAAATTGTTGGGCTTTTACTGTTTGTTTATTACTGGTTCATTTGCCTTTATTCTTCTCTCTCTAGAAGGTAGGTTAAATTTTCTCAGTTGTACAACTTTTTTTTTTGGGTTTATTTATGTACATGCCCCTTGTGCTTTCAAACTTGTCTCAGATTACAACTTGTGTTTCGAAATGTCTCAAAATACCCCTCATACTTTTAAAAACTGTCTCACATGATTTAAAAAATATATATACATAATTAGTAGGAAAGTTAGGATATATAACCAATTTCAACGGTTGAACCATGCATACACAATTTTGGGTTACACCGAGATAACATATGTACCGACACTCCTATATCTGATGCTACTTGTGTTGGAAAATTTGGTTTATGGATACTAATTTTCCTGCAAAACATCATATATATGAAATAACTATTAGAAAATTTTAATTTACATTGATAGAGTAGATTAAATAAAATCAACGAAATTACAGCAAAATACTTATCTTTTGGGATGTAGAAGTTGGTCTCCATTGACATTTGAGTAGAATAATAGTTTTAGGTTGAGGCATGTAGTCATTGTCCTTAAGAGTAGATTTCGCCCCTCGGAGACAATGTTTCGGTGTAGCAAGGTTGTATGGCGGCCTACCTTCCAGGATAAAACAACCAATGACTCTTATATGCGTACACTCGCAATACTTGGATCGGATGAACCACTCAAATCTTTCCCTTGATAAAAGAAAACAAATTGGAACACAAGCTCAAGAATGTGGAGGAGAAAATAATGAAGAAAGGTGCCAAAAATCTCTCACCAACGTTTTTCTTTTTGGTGTATATATAAGATTACTGACTCTAGTGAATGTTGGGTTATTAACCAAGCAATTAAACCACATTTGCACGTTAAGAACAAAACTGAAGGCTATTGCTCAAATAGTAAAATATGATCCCAACTAAGCAATTAATCTTTGGAATCAAAACACTATTGTAAAACCAAAGGCATTTAACTTATTTAAATGATAAAATAAATTGATACAAAAAGCTAACGGAAATAAACCAATTAAAACCACAAAAGATATATAAAAACCGACAACAAATTAATGTCCAATTTATTCAAAACGAATACGAAAGCAGTTTATAATTTTAATAAAATAGAATTAAACCAAACATTTAAAATTTTACTTTCAACATAAATGAGATAAATTCATTTTGTATTTTGAAATACTCGCAAAAATTCCAACAACTTGAACTATGCTCAAGATTCCAGTAAATTTCCACCGTTGAAGAGAAGAAAGAGAACAATGTTGTAAATGCGGGCATGGCCCACGTGATGAAAGTGAAGAAGCATTAGGAGCGTATGCATTAAAAAGGAAGACTTTGTTAAGCATCCTACTTCAAATGCATTGAAATTAACTTTGATCTCAGTAGTTAGTTGGTACCATTATTGATAAGGAGAAAAACGTTTGATGTCTTTCACCTACAAAAAGAAGCGTTGATGAGAAAGTTAGGTGAAAATCCGAGAGAGAGAGAGTAAAATTTTAATAGTTATAACACCGAGAGTTATATCATTTGATACTCTCATATTCTGTCTATTTTACCGTCAAATTAAGCATGTCACATGCTATGGTATGTTGACAATACTTGAGGACATGCCATTGCCATAGCTAGCTATTGCCCATGCATGGACACATTTTCTTGTAGCAATGCATGCATATTCATTCTAAGACATTATATATAACATGCCCTAAGAAATTAGAATTAAATAAGTACATGGCTAGAACCCACGTGCATTCACGTAAATAATATATGAAAGGGAGAAAGAAAAAAAAGAGAGATTGTTTGCTTTGCTTTATTCTTTCGTTAGGTGGAATATGGACTTACTTCCATTCTACCCCACCTATATTTTATTCATTTTAACGAATTAACAACAATTTAAGACATTCTCTTCTTCATTCTGCTGGTCAACTAGAAAGGTGACACGTACTTCATAGTTAGGTTAAAATCAATTTGCAACTTAATTTAAAACTAAACCATCTTAAACATGTTTTCCAATGTCTATGCTTTGTGTCTGCAAATATATGTACTTTCCTGTGCGATCTGATTAATTAATTACATCGTGAAGCTAATGCATGGTTTTAATATTGTTCTCAGCTTGCTTTAGTGCCTAACCTGGTACACTTTCATCAAAGCCATATTGACAATATTTGTTTTTAAAATGGCATCCATTTGCTGAGGTGGATTTAACGTTAATCTTTTATCGTTGAAAAGAACGTGACCGTGACCAAGAGGAATATAATCGATATGATCATAAAATTTGGATTAAGGAAGAAAATACAGCACCTCTTATCGACTGCACCTCCTTGAGTCTTAATAGGTCCACCACTATCCATGAGGATGTGGTATAGTAAAAAAAATAGGAACTGAGGCC